AACGGGGGCCTCGCGCCGCCGGTGACTTCCGGGTCGCGCGCTGCCCGGCGGCCGCCTGACTCCGTCATCCTCGAGGGAGCGGACGGGCCGCCGGACGCCCCCTCCGCCGCAGCCTCGGCCCTTTCATCGTCGTCTTCGGAGCCTCGACGGGGAGCGGGGGAGGGGCGGAGGCCGGCTCACCAGAGTCAGGCAAATCCAGGGGCAGGCCTAACCGCGGTCAGGACCCCGGAGCGCGGAGGCGACTTCCGGAAACAGCCGCCAGGCGGCGCCTGGAGCCGGAAATAAAGCGGGGAGCCTTAGCGACCCGAGGGACGGAGGGTTTGGCGGGCACTGGCCGGTGGCAGTGGTCTCTAATGTAAGCAGGTGAACGGCGCGTGCCGTCCTCTTAATAGGTCGGGAAATCCAGACACTCAAGGTGTGCGTGATCACGCCGCAAAGGGAAGCCTGACTCCTCCTCTGGCTGCAAGGCGCGTTATTTTTTTTTTTTTTTTTTTGAGTAGGAGCCTCGCTGTCATCCATGCTGTAGCGCAGTGGCACACCCACGGCCACCGCGGCCTCGGCCTGCTGGGCCCCAGCGATCCTTCCGCCTCAGCCTTCCAAGCAGCTGGAACTACAGGCGCGCGCCACCATGCCCGGCTAATTTTTGATTTATTGTAGAGACGAGGTCTCATCCAGTTGGCCGGGCTGGTCTCGAACCCCTAGGCTCAGGCAATCAATCCTCTCGCCTCGGCCTCCCAAAGAGCTGGGTTTACAGGCTTGAGCCACTGCGCCCGGTCTCTTGGAGCTTTATTAGGAACTAAAATAAAGACACAGGCGCGGCTCTTTCGTCCTGGGGTCTGCAGAACAGACTTTCCTCGGTCCTTGGGTATCCTTTGTTTGTATAGGTTTGCTCGATATGTCTGAGCCCGCGGGTTCGAGACCTCATCTCTACAATAAAAAATCAAAAAATTAGCCGGGCATGGTAGCGCGCGCCTGTAATTCCGGCTACTCGGAAGGCTGAGGCGGAAGGATTGCCAGAGCCCAGCAGGTCGAGGCTGCGGTGACCGGGAGCGGCCACTGCACTCCAGTCTGGGCGACAGAGCGAGACTCCAACTCAAAAAAAAAAAAAGTTCTCCTGGTTTTACATATGAGAAAAGAACTGTCATTTGCTTAAAAAAACAAAACAAAACAAAAAAAACAGCATCCAGTTATTTTGTTTAGACACCAAGACCCAGGCCCTCCACAGTGCAGCAGCCTCGTATTTCCTTGAATATTAATTTTTTAAAAGATGTTTTTTTGCCAATATCTTGCTAACCAACTCTCAACTAAGCAAGTGGAACATTTACCTATAGGAAGTCATTTAGCTGATGTCAGGAAGCCCATGTGGGAACTCAAAAAACAAGAGAGCTGAATATCTGCATGAATTTGTGTGATATCGTTTGCATATAAGAGGGATAACAGTGTTCTACATTTTGCTGAGGAGCAGATTTAGGGTGTCCCTTTAGCTGAGGGCAGTGTGGTCTAGTTGCGTGTATTAAGAAAAAAGATAAGGAAAAGGGCCCAGAGGTGTTTAATGGTTTGTTCAAAGTAATCCATATTTCTCCATAGACAAAATAACCTGTAGTAAAGCTGAACACAGATGTGAAAACCACGGTGGAACCTAATATTCCAATTCTCAGGCCTTCTGTGATCAAATTTATCTCCCAAATGGCCCCCATGCAGTATTCTAAAACTGAACCTTTATTCTCATTCCATTTATTTTGACATTTCTTCTTTACTACCTTGTTTTAATTCTTGGCTCTATTTGTGAAAGATTTTTCCTCACAACAAAACTCAAGAATTTCCAGAATAGAATGCTGAAATGTCTTTCCAGGAGTTCGGACATCTTCTGAAGCTCCTTCTAAATATGAATTATTCTCTGAGCTCACTGTAGGTCAGTGAGCTCAGAGAATAATTTATATAATTTATATAATCTATATTTAATTTATATAATCTATATTTAAACTAGGATTCAGAACTCTCTCTTATCCAAATGATGAAGTTATTTTCTTTTTTGT